CCTGGCAGAACTGAAAATGTGCATCAGAGAACGAGTTATTTCTGAGCAAATGCCCCTTTATAGCACCATCAATGATGCCAGCTACCGCTTTGGTAACTGATAGGAGAATAATTAGCTGGGTTGGATTTGTGTTTTTCTTGTGCACCGGGCATATATGGACAAGTTTTCATGTTATCAGGTAGATGCCAATGTTAAAGGTGTACTGGAGCAGCATAATTTAGCATGCAGCTGATTCTGAAGGACTAGTGTTCAATATTACTGTCGGAACTTTGTCGGGGCTCGTAACTTTTTCAGTATCGTCTGTCTTCAGCTGTCTCTTCATATAATGTGCAGTGAACCGAAATGGTTAAAACCTAGTATCTATGATGCTGGGGACCTAGGAGGAGGCTGAGATGAATCATACCTTCTACCTGAAGATAGATCCGAATGTTTTGCGGTTGTCTTTTACACTAATGCTGTAAGCTTTCTCATTGTTAAGAATGGAGGTATTCTCAGACATAAGTCTCCTCCTGTATAATTTCTACCACCGTTCATGTCAGGATGTGACAGGACTGCAGAGCCTCAATCTGATCCATTGGTTGTGGAATTGCTTAGCACTGTCTATTGCACACAGCACTCATTATTTGGCATGCAAGTAATACTGTGTTGTAGCTTCATAACATTGGCACCATGTTTATAGGAATTCCTGGAGCTGCTCCTGGCGTTTCCGCCTGCACTCTTCATTGAACCAGGGTTTATGTCCTGGCATGATGGTAATGGTCGAACAGGGATACAGTGGGTCACGACGTTACAGATTGTGGTTGAATAAAATTCTGTTGCTGATGGCTCACAAGGTATCATGGGTGTTCAACTTTGGCTAAATTTGTTCACAGTTTTTCCCATTTAGCACAGTAGTAGAGCTAGATGACAAAATGGAGAGTATTCTCGGTAGGAAGATGGGATTTTTTTCCGGAAGGATTGTGCAGTGGTCATCCCTGCTGGTACTGTCATGGGCAAATGCATCTATAACACGTAGATTGAGGGCAATGGCAAGTTGATATTTTTTGTTCATTCCCTCCACTTGTTTTGGACACAGTCCAGGAGTTATGCCCTTTAGGACTCAGCTGACTTCGTCAATAGTGGTTCTACTGAGCTACCTTTTAATGACAAACATTGAAGACCCGCACTCAGAGTATGTTCTGTGCTCTTGCCGCCCTTAGCATTTTCTCCAAACACTGTTCAACATGGAGGTTTACTTGTATATCAGCTGAAGTGGGGTTTAGTCAGGAGGTTTCCTTACTCATGTTTCACCTGATGCCATGTAACTGCAGAGAAGCTTTGGAGTCAATGTTGACAGCACCCAGGCAAGTCTTTTCCAATTGTACAGGACTGAGCTGCTACCTTGGTGGGTCAGTGCTGCTTTGTACAGAACAAAATCAGGGATGGTGATGGTGTTTGGACATTCTGTTAGGTATAATTCCATGTGTTTGACCGAGGCTATTGCTTGACTAGCCTGTGGGACAACTGTTCCAATTTTGGCACAAGCACCGATTTGTTGGTAAGAAAGACTTTGCAGAGTCTTCAGGGCTATTTGCTTTGGTTGTTTCTGATGTTTAGGTTGATGCAGGGTTCTGCATTCAATTTTGTTTCTTCGTGACTTTTTAGTATTTTTGACACAGCTGAGTGGTTTGCCAAGTCATTTCAGATGGTAGTTAAGAGTCAGCCACACTGTTGTGCATCTGAAGGCACATGCAGGCCAGTCCAGACCGGATAAGGTTGGCAGATTTCCTTTCCTAAACAAAAGTGGTCGAGGAGAGTATCTACTCAAAAACTACAGCGCACAGGTGGTGAAAACTAACACTTTTCCAGTGGGCTGTGATGAGATGGCACAAAAGAGGTGTTGTGGTTAGGACAGATTAGTTGTGATCTTGTTGAATTTTGGGTTGGGGTGGGTGGGTTGCTTGAGAGGCCAAATGACCAGCTTCTATTTATTATGTAAAAGACATCAGTGAACCAGATGGGTTTTAATGACAGCTGACAATGGTTACATGGTTGCCATTTTTAATTCTAGATATTTATTGAATTCGAGTTTTGCCATCTGTTATTGCTGAATTTGAACCCATGTCCCCAGAACAGCAATACTAGTGGCACTATCCACAATTTCTACTGTTTCTCTTCTCTGGATCCTTGGATGTAATTCATAAAAGTTCCTAAGATACAACGTTCTAAACATGTGTCAAAGTCCTGGAACTCCCTCCCCAGTGTCTTTGTGGTTGTATCCACCCTGTAGCAATTCAAGAAGGCAACTCATCACCACCTGTTCAAGCGTAACTCGGGATGGGAATAAATGCTGGCTCAGCCAGAAATGCCCACATCCTACGAATTTAAAAAAAAAATCTTCATCCAGTCTTGGTGCCTTATCCGCTCTATGCACAGGCAACCTGTCCAATTGCACCTCCTTATCAGTTTATTATTGGTTTTCTGTGTAAGATTCTGAATAAAACAAAGAAAAACAGCCATTCTTTTTCTTCCTCGATATCAACGTTGCGCAGAAATCGAGTAATAAACTTGGTTTTACATTTTTAACCAGGAAAATATTGACTTATGAACTGAAATTTGACATTCATATTACTGAATAAAATATATTATCACCATTTTAATTTTTCTATAAATTTTCTTGGCATCTTTGAAAGAGCTTGTTCTGTGGAATGGTTTCATGGGCATTATCTCGAGCAATTCATTGAATCATTCTAATTAGTGCCAGTCAGCAGACATTTAGACCTGGCATTATAGCTAATTGTGATCTTTACTCAACTCATGAATCCAGGGTGCTTTTTAACAGGCTTATTGGATTTGCAGTAGGAGTGAGAATGCTGTTTGTTTGTTTATCTTTCTCCTCCTCCAGCAGAGTGCTGTTGGTCCAGTTGTCGAGCTTTCAATTCTTACTATTGTTAAGGTCAGACATCAGATGACACCAGTTTATAGTCCAACAGGTTTATTTGAAGCTTTCAGACTGTAGCCCCTTCATCAGGTGAAAGCTTGTGATTTCAAATGAACCTGTTGGACTATAACCTGGTATCGTCTGATGTCTGACTTTGTCCACTTCAATCCAACACCAGCACCTCCACATCATGCCTGCTACAATTAAGTTCAGGTTTTTTGCCACAGCAATAGGTAGGGTAGTTAATAAGCTGCTTCTGCTGTTTGGGGATTCTTGAACTAGGGGGATTAATCTGAGAGTTAGGGCCAGACTGTTCAGGAAAGCTGTTAGGAAGCCCTCATGTCCACAAGGGTGGTCGATGTTTGAAACTTGCTTTCACAAACTGCAGTGGATGCTAGGTCAGTTGTTAATTTTAGATCTGAGATAAATATTTAAGCAAAGGTATTACGGGATGTGGGTTAAAGGCAAGTATATGCAGTTAGACCACAGATCAGACATGATCTGATTGAATGGCTTAAGGGGCTGAATGGCCTACTGTTGCTCCTGTGTTTCTACCAGCAACTGGAGAGGGGATCCATTCAGCGAAGACCCTATTTCTCCTGATGTGTTAGTCAGTGCACATCCTCACAGTTCTGTCTGTTAAGTCGTTAAAGTTTCAAATAGTGTAGTTTTAATTCAAGACCATTTCTGTTAAACTAAAACATTTGCTGTTGTGAAATTTGTATTGTTCAATGTATCGGTCACAGACAGGGACATTCAGTTTTAGTGATCAATTTAACTAGTAGCACAAATGATCTTTGTCACTAACATTTTAATCAACTTTTGACACCTTTTGTTTTGTTACACTAATTTGGTTAAAGTTGGCAATCTGAGCCGCTCACCATTCAGCACTGACCAGCAAGTCAAATAACTTCCCTGTTTACACGACAACAAGGTGCAGGGCTGGATGAACACAGCAGGCCAAGCAGCATCATAGGAGCAGAGAGGCTGACGTTTCGGGCCTAGACCCTTCATCAGAAAAGGGGGAGGGGAAGGGGGTTTTGAAATAAATAGGGAGAGAGTGGGAGGCGGATAGAAGAGGGATAGAGGAGAGGATAGGTGGAGAGGAAACAAACAGGTCGAAGAGGCGGGGATGGGGCCAGGAAAGGTGAGTGTAGGTAGGGAGTTAGGAAGGGGATAGGTCAGTCCAGGGAGGACGGACAGGTCAAGGGGGCGGG